AGGGCGTTTTAAATCATGGCGGGGGAGGGCGTTTTCATACATGTTTGGCCAATCAATGTCTACTTACGTCCCGATTAGTTCCAGTTGTGCTGGTTAGACCCTGCTCCGGAGTAGGAGCTAATTTGGTTCTCGAAAAAGGCAGTCCGGTACTAAAATCGCACCCAGTTCCGGCGGTGCGAACACGCCAAAAAGTGGGTAGTTCCACAATTAGTTCTGGTACTATGAAAAGGTTCCCGCGGTACGAAAGGCCCTTATGTTACCTAACATGGTGAGTTTTTTTTTTTTGAATTGGGTTTTATTCTTTTTATCATGCGGTGTGAAGTATTTCACTCCGTTCCCTGATCATTCCGATTCAATTTCGGTGATTGAAGAATGTCTCGGTTACGTATGTAACCCTCGTTCCCTGATGGAGGGAACGGAGACATTATGTCGATAACGATATTAGGGTTCTTACTTGGGAGCCCGAATCCTCTCTGATTAAAAGAAAACACCAATGAAATTTGGCCAGTGGATTTTGCATGCTGAGCCACTCCACGTGCATACGGGTATAAATAGGCGACAGTTGCATCCACTCATCAGGTTTCTGAGCGGCTTCAGCATGTTGTCTGTATGTCATGTACATAATACATAATGCATAAGAGTAGGGGTGACCCCGAATAGTCGAAGATTCGATGTTCCGGCGGTGCGAACACGCCAAAAAGTGGGTAGTTCCACAATTAGTTCTGGTACTATGAAAAGGTTCCCGCGGTACGAAAGGCCCTTATGTTACCTAACATGGTGAGTTTTTTTTTTTTGAATTGGGTTTTATTCTTTTTATCATGCGGTGTGAAGTATTTCACTCCGTTCCCTGATCATTCCGATTCAATTTCGGTGATTGAAGAATGTCTCGGTTACGTATGTAACCCTCGTTCCCTGATGGAGGGAACGGAGACATTATGTCGATAACGATATTAGGGTTCTTACTTGGGAGCCCGAATCCTCTCTGATTAAAAGAAAACACCAATGAAATTTGGCCAGTGGATTTTGCATGCTGAGCCACTCCACGTGCATACGGGTATAAATAGGCGACAGTTGCATCCACTCATCAGGTTTCTGAGCGGCTTCAGCATGTTGTCTGTATGTCATGTACATAATACATAATGCATAAGAGTAGGGGTGACCCCGAATAGTCGAAGATTCGATACTTTGATAGGAGGAGCCTCACAGTCAAATATTGCGGGGTGTTATGCCATTTTGGCTATATGGGGGTGCTTAAATGTCTGATTTCACAGAGAACTGTGCATTCATATCAGTTTGAAAACTTCTAAGCTTGCAGAAGTGTTTTCCAAAAGTATGTCATTATCCATGTTTTCCTTTCACACTTTTAATTAATTACCCAGAGTATGACCGGTTTCAGGCCCAGAACCCCTGGAACAACTGAGGAGCAGAGACAAAGAGTCGTCTCAGTAATTCTCCAAGACCGGCCTCACTCACACTCCTTACTAACCCTGAGATTCAATCTCTGACCTTTCAGCTCGGAGGCCAAATCATTAACCTCACGGATGTCTGCCCCACGCAGGTTAGACGTTATTTCATAGTAAATTGAAGATAGAGGAGCCATGGAATCCATTTAGGCTGTGCAAAATGTTATTAACAGAAAAACTGTAGGCGCATGAAAATGTGTTTAGAGTAAGGATGTAAGAACCATTATTATATTGTTGGACACCTGCACTTTTTTTTACCAAAATGTTTTCCCAAATCATTTATATGCCCCTTGTTAAGTAAAGTATAAAAGTACTAAATTATGAATGTTCAGCAGTACTTGCAGCAAGGTGAATGCAACACCTTTAGCCATGAATATTTGTAGAATATGGCGAGGCTTTGAATGCCTTCCTGCTTTTATGAAGCAGTTTTAACCATTTTGTTTATAGCACCTTATATGTTCCCTACGGTGAGCGTGATTTGACCAAGTACAACATGTTCCTGGATCAACATTCCAATTAACCAATCAGAATTGAGGGATAACTTTTCAGGCAATATCTGTTTTAGGCTTATCAGGGTTAGGTGCTTCTACACCCTTGTTAATCAGCTATCATTTTACACTGATTTTAGGAATAAATTATGGGTAGGGATTGGGATTGGGTTTAGTCTATATTTTTGGACAGTAATGTTGATCCAGGATGAACAAAAGATGTTGATCCAGGAACATGTCTTACTTGGCAAAATCACGGCGACTCGTTCCCTACATCTGCTAGAAAATACTGTTCTTTATTTGTAAACTAAAGGCATTTTCAGACATGAGGATTGTTTGCTTTGTTCCAAACAAGTGTGATGCACACTTCCTGAAAAGTAAGGCCAAAACATTTTGATCGCCATCTATTGGCTGGCTGCAGTATAGGTCATAAACCCTGCCCTCTCCATGTGAAAGAATGCAAAGTAAGCTAAATTTGATAAATCAAATCAAATTGTAATAATGTTGCATTTTAAGTTTTTTTTAGGTAGCTTTTATCACACTGATGTATGTCCAAGTGTTCTTTTTTTCTAATAAATTTTCTTTTAGTTTGTTATTTGATGCTATATACCTTATGTAGCTCTGCCACTTTTTAGCACTTACAGTGCTCGTTGTCTTCTGCATTCTGTTTGTATTCCCACAGCATGAAGGTAATGTCGTACAAATTTATGAATTAACTGCTCATTTTAAAATCTTCCCAGTCTGGTAATTTGTTATGATGTCCACTTTAAACATTACAATGCACATGATAAATTTTGTTAACTCAGCAGTAAGTAAATCCACTTCACCAGCTAATTACTCTTCAAGAGTGATGCTATAGAGTGTCAATAAAAACAGAGTATGGTGTCATATAAATCCAAGCCTTTATTCAATGAGACCAGGCTGGACAGGCAGGTAGGACATCCTATTGTAGTCCTCTGGCCGAGGGATATGATTAGACAAACATTTCTTGGTCCTATGCCTTCCACTGATGATATAAATACATTTAGACCACTTAACTTAGTGATTGCTATGCCGTGAATTTAACAGTAAAAGACTGTAAAAATGCTACAGTAAAAACCTGTTAAATGGTTAACGGTAAATTCTCCTACTATATACGGTGAAAACTGTATTGGACATTACATGTAATGGACATTAATTTTACGGTAGTATACTGTTTTGGAAGTGAACAAGACCGTATAATTTTCAGTGAATAACTGTAAATTGACATTCCCAGAATTCCCTGCGTTACATTTTAAATGTTCTCTTTTTTTTGTTGAAATAACTATTTTTCTTAGTTTTTTCTTATCAGTTTTGTATGTTAGGGTTGTGTGTTACACCTAATGTTGTTAAATGAATGTTTATTGCATTATTTCAGTCTCATGTGTGTTACCGTGATGGTGTTTAGTGTTTGTGTGAAAGACACACTGTGCACCTTCTATATATGTTATTATTTAAAAGCTGCTTGTGATGGGCTTTGGTTCATCATGTGACTTTCTCATCACCTCCTGCATTTGGTGGTTATCAGTGTATTACAAAGCTACAAAACAGATTTCAGTCCTTCAATAGGTTGGTATATTAACATTATATCAGTTAATGAAATTACGGTACTTAACTGTAAATTTAAGTTAAAACCGTAAAACCTAAAACATTGCTACCGTATTTTTTGTGGTAAAATTCTGACAACCACAGCTTCCGTTTTTTTACCGTCAATTTTACGGATTTTTTTTTACAGTGTATGGATGTGAAGAGACTTTCAACCAGCATAAGAAAAAAATGTTTTTCAACCAATCCCTGCCTTTAATTATATCTAACAATGCACCAGTTTTGGAGAAGAGCAATAACATTTTAAGATGACTTCAGTTTTTAGAGAATTTTTGAGAAGATGAAGCTCTGTAATGACATGTTTTCCACTCATTGCTATTAGACACAGAACAGTTGTTAGATGATTGCAGAGGTTTAATGCTGACTCTCACAGACACCATCATCCACACGGACATACAACAGCTGAAAGGCTCAGAGAAAACCCCTCTGTTATTCTTCAGGACTGAAAAGATGACCTCAAGAGCACGATATCTGTTGTTTGGTTTTGTAACAAATAATACGTACAGTATTTCATTCATTTGTTGAGTTACTTTAGCTCAAGTTTTGGGTTGCACACCCATTTATTGTCTAACATGTGGACTCTATCATGTTTGGTCCAATTATAAATGCATGCTATTAGACATTACACAAATATTATTCTTTTGAAAGCAGCATGTGTGTCTCACAGAGCTTGTACACGTCCCGATATCAATCATCTGGTAAGTATGGCCCCTCGGAGCAGGAATGCGCTGGGATTGTGTGCATAGGGTGAACGTGCGGGAGGGAAAATATTACAGTTGGAACATTTTCCCATAAAAACGTTTGATGGAATTCAGAGCAGCCGCAGAACGATTCAGACAATCTCAAGCCTCTCAAACCAAATCTCTGTAAGCGAGAAAAGGCTTTGTTAAAATCTGAAAATACACTTATGGAATCGTCACACTTTTGTAACATAGATCAACGTTAGCATATAGATAGAATCAAAGGTTGAAGAAAGCTGATTGTATGTTTTGAAAATGCTGTAAGTGTTGCTCTGTGTATTTCTGATTAGGCCAGAAACACAATCTATTTGTCTTCAGCGCTGCTCTCAGCCGGCTGATCAATCTGAAATCAATTAACTGACATGACAATGCTGTCTGCTCCATTTGGAGATCTTTCTTAACATCTCTACCAGTGTTTCTCCTGTCTGCTCAGTATGTTGTGCATAGGTAAAAACATAGGTAAACCGGCTATAAAAAATAAATACGAAAAATAATTAGACTTTTTGTAGCTAATTTATATTCACAATAAAAATGGTAAACCTCTGGCAAGTTGTATCACAAAAATGTGACTGGTCTCCAGGAGCATAACATTGCTTCACACACAAGTAGTGCAATGGAAGGCAATTCAGAATCCTGATCTTTCTTTCTTTCTTCTTTGGTTTAGCGGCTAAGCCTGAGGAGAAGGAGGAGGTGCCAACCGTTGCGGGCAAGGTTGATGCTGAGAAGGGAAAGAAGAAAGAAAAAGAAGGCAAGGGTGAAGAGAAGGCTGAAACCACAAAGAAGAAAGGGGAAAAGGGGGAGAAAGGAGCAACGAAGAACGAGGCATTGGATGGAGGGAAAGGTAAAAAGGGAGGTGGAGAGAAAGGAGAAGAAAAAGGAGGGAAAGGAGGTGGAGCCAAGGGTGGTGCCAAGAAGCCTGCAAAAAAGTGAACACTTAGTCACCTTACTGGTGTGTGCTAAACTTTCATTAGCCATTTTTTATTTTTTGTAAGACAATTTATAAAAGCACATTTTCAGCCTATTTATTTTACTGTAAATTGTACATATTGACAATAAATGAGTCTCTGTTAATTATACATTTTCATTTATTATTCACATGATCAACACTAAAATATACAACACTGGTATACATAGAAAAGTTAGTTTGCATTCATGCAACTTAACATATAAACAACACCACCAACAACAACAACAATTCAATTTTTTTGCAGAAAGAATATTCTGTTTTGGGTAAAAACACTTCTACCGAGGACATGAAGAATGATGGGATGTAATAAAAATATGCACATGAGTAAAGCAGAGATATTCAAAGCAGTAAAATAAGATCAATTTCTTGACTGATTGATCGGTCATGAAACCTCAATATCATTCAAGCAGTTATTTTCAAATCAATCCCTGTTAATATCTAAAACCAACAGTCTCAAATGTATAAAAAGTGCAACAATAAATGACATTTTATAAATAATACAACTGAAAATAATAGATTACATTTAATGGTAAAAACATGATTGAAATGTTGACATTTTGATCTGTCCTCAAATTCAAGTTCAGACGGTTGTTATGTAAAGAAAAGCAGAATGCATATGTATATATTTTGTTAAAGTTTATTTGGTTGAGTAATGGTTTAGATTTATTGACTAGCAAACACGAATTGCTTGAAATATGAAAAAAACTAAATTTAGGCTTTTTTCAGCATATGTACTGCTGAACTGCCTGCATATAAAATCATAACCTGGATTACAGTCTTTCCATATCAGTATTACATTCTAAAACATATGCAGAGGAACATTTAGCTCAAAACTGTGTGGACATTTTCGTGTAATGTGTAAACACAATATTGACATATATACATGGAGTAACAAAAGGCAGCATTATATTACACATAACAGACCATGAGCCTCTAAACCTACAATACTGACTTCAGTTTGTTCTTCCTTATGGCTGTAAAAAATGATATTCAGCTGCTCATTTACAATAATGCATGAGACATTAAGATGAAACGATTGGATGTAATGTGAGGCAGTGGAGTGAAGCATGAGCAGGTATAATAAGTCTAGATGTGAAAAATACAACAGTCATCCATTATACGATAATGAGGATAATGTATAAGGGTTTTCAGTGAACCGCTCTTATGATGCCTTTAATGGAGATCAAGAGTTCCCTGAAAACTCTTACAGCACAGAGCATAATGATGCTGTTAATTGATTACTCAGAATGAGAGGCGTATTTTATTCATTCATGGCCTGGCACTTGAAATGTGTCATCTAAAAAGGAAATGAAAGGTATACTGGGTGCTGCCAAAGGATATTTTGTAAGGCAATATAATCATGTATGTGATTATGAATGCACACCTTACTTGAAATACTAAATGCACACTCTTTGTGCTTCAGATATGAATGACGCCTCATATCATGTGGCTTGTTAATAAGAATTATTGTATTGCTTATGCATGATCAGACAATGTGACAATGTTCCACTTTGGATGAAAAAAATGGCCTTGGTGATAAAAATGGAAACAGTTAACAGTATTATAAACTATACTAAATTGCAATGGTTAAGGCAGCCAAAAACGACCCTGAAAATGAAACATGCTAACATAATTTCTCTTTTATGCTTGTTAGTATAGTACGTGTTGGTCCTAATAACAAAATTCTTTGACGTTTCACCACTGGCAACAATCACTTCATCATCACTGGCAATAATGCAAGCTTGTGCTGTATAAATCTACACAGATCCAGAATGAATTCACTCCTGAAGAAAAATACAGTCTGGCAAGATTTGGCAAATCTACTGATTAAACACATAGATAAACAAGACACAACCGCTCAAAGCTTAGAGACATAGAAATATCACATTCTACTAATACAACCCTGCTATCATAATACAAAGAGTGTCCTCCCTACTGGCAGTCGCATCTGTAAATAACATTATATTAGTGCTGATCAAAAACATTTTTTGGAAATATGAGTGTCTTATCGACAATTGACGGTCCACAGTGCCATATATTTTATATGACTTGATCCTGAAGCAAAATCTGTTCACATCCTCCGAATACTGCTGGTGAAGATGGCCTGGTGCCTGTAGTAGCTTCCAGTCTTGCAAGAACATTGTGGCTCCTTTAAAAGACACGGATCATATCTGGTCCATTAGGTCCAACTGTACATCTTAGATGGTCTCACAACCCAAATTGTGAGGAAATCCTGAGAAACAAAGGACTCTCTAATCCTTCAACATTTTTAAGGTTTGTGAAGTCACATGACTGTTTCTCTTTCCTCCTCCACCACCGGGATGGTTTTTTCCACCTGGAAGTTCTTCGAAGGTTCTTCCTCTTGTATATGCAGCTCCTGTCCCGAGGATGGGATGGAGTTCTCAGAGACCGAGCCGTTCTTCACGTATCCCGGGAGGTTCCGGTGGCCGTTGAGGGAGATGGGCCCCAGGCGGGTGGTGAGGTGCAGGGCCAGAGGGCCCCGTGCGGTCACGTTAGTGACGCTGGTGTGAGACACCATGGGTCCATAGCTATACGTGTTACTGCCACTCCGGGCTTTTCTCTTGAAGTCCAGAGCGAGCGTCCTCCGACTCCATGACTTCTTGATTTCTGCTTGGACCTAAAGTGTGATAAGAATGAGAATATATGTGAATGAAACAAGCAGCTGGGAAGTAACTGATTACATGTAATCTGGATTATGTAATCAGATTCTAAACATGAATTATTTATAATTGATTGATTCTTCTTTTTCACCTTTTAAATGGATCTTTCTAAAATAGCCTATCGCTTACATGCATTTAGAAAATCTGTCCGTTTTGTGGACATTCACACAAAGACCAGTCACTAGTCATGTGACCGCAGCATTTGACCACTGGATTTACAAAAATCTGCCTTTTCTCAACATTTCAACACCGCAACAACTACTGATAAGCATAGTAATGGTTTTTGAATTATCACTCAGTGGGATTAAGAGAATATATCAATTAAATGAAACGTTTAAAGCAGTACATTTTTTCTGAAAATTAATAAAGCAAATTGAGAATTTAATAGTAAGTGCTATAAAATTGTATAAAGTGCAATTACTAACAAAAAGTGAACTAAACAAAAAAACTATTGCAGGTGCATGCTATTTAAAACCACTGAAACACAAACTGACCTGGTAGCCTGTCTAGAATGTACCGACATAAGTGAAAATAATTCATTATAAACAATTAAATAAAAATTCATTCTTACCTCTCCATTGCAGAAGCAATATATAATTGCAACGAAGAATCCCTGGAAAATAGAGCATGAATTTAAAATATAATTATACAAGTAATAATAAAATATTTTGGTGTCTTTGTACAATTTTAATTGTCTACATCTTTTTTGAAATATTACCTGGAATGAGTTAAAGAGCATTTCATAATGCATCTGGATTTGCCACGGCACCCCAGACACTTCTGTATAGGGCATTGCCATGAACACAATGTAGTGAACCCCAAACAACGGCATGAGGACCAGCGTCGATTTTAACAGCTTTCTGTCGCATAAAGAAAAACAAAACAAAACGATGAAGAACCAAAGTATATGTTTGGGGTCAATAGGATTTTTTTTTTAAAGTAAGTAATTGACACTTTTATTCAGTAAGGATCATTAAACTGATAAAAATATAACAGTAAAGGTATTATAATTCTACAAAAGTTTTCTATTTCAAATAAAGGCTATTCTTCAGAGAATCTGAAGTTATGGGGAGTTATGGTTTCCACTTCAGCAAATTACAATGATTTCTTAAGGATCATTTAACACTAAATAAATATTAGACAATAAATGAAAAAAATATATAATAAATTAAATATATTATATATTTTTAAAATGTATTTAAATAGAAACTAGGGTCCCACTTTATATTAAGTGGCCTTAACTACTATGCACTTACATTTAAATGAATAATTTGGTACAATGCACTTATTGTGTGCATACATGTTTTTACATTGTACTTATATTTTTTAAATACCTGCATGTAATTACATCTGAAATTAATTTCTGTAATTACATTTATAATTACACAGTTGACCCATCCCTTACACCTTAACCCACCCTTAAACCTACCCATACCACCAAACCTGTCCCTAACCTTACCCGTATCTCACCTCAATAGCAGCAGAAGTGTTTTGCAATACAATATGAACACAATAAATACATTGTACTTCATTTTTGATGTAAGTACATAGTAGTTAAGGCCACTTAATATAAAGTGGGACCGAAATCAGCTATTTTAAATAGTAATATTATTACTGTATACTGTATTACTTACTGTATTTTTGATCAAATAAAAGCAGCCATGGTAAACATAAAAATCTTCTTTCAAAAACATAAAAAATCTCAAATGGTAGTGTGTAGGGGTGTGCTTGAAGCCGAATATCTCATTCGGAAAGGCACGGATAATGGCTTAAAAAACGAATAACGTATAACGAATAATTCTGCCCGAATATTCGGCTGAGGCTGGCACACTCTGGTGTTTGCTAGATTCACAGGTGAGCCAGGGGATCAGCGCGATATTTTACACAAACCTCTAAATTCACGCAATAATGAGTGTGTGAAGTGAATGAATGTAAACTTTATGAATGAAAAACACCAACAAATCAAACACCGCAGTGCTGTTGCCTCTCCATGCATCACACAGAAATCAGAGCTTGGCAAGAGTAATATCACCTAAAATAATAGGGCCTACATCATACATGTTCTACTATTTGTGTATATTTAAAAGGCAAAGAGTTTAACCTTATAGGCTACGATATGATACACGAATGAACGGAATAAGCACAGCGCGATCGCCAATCAAACAGCCGTCTCTGCGCGTCTCAGTCTCTCAACAACCAAACCAGCTCTCTGTCAAGAGTAGGCTAATAATCAACTAAGATACATATACATTTTCTACTAGGCCTACATGTTTGCTTCTTTA